ACAGAATACAACTTGGAAAGTGCTGCTCTAACTCATCAGTAAGTCCCACCACTGATGCTCCTAAAATCTCTATCCCAGTGCAGAAGATGATGCAAAAGGCTGAGGACTTCCACCATCTACACCCAGAAACCACATTTTCTCCTATGATTTTTAGGAGTGGATGTGTTAACTCAGTGGAAGTCCGTGGACTTTGGTCAGACACAAGGCCTTCTCTGGCACTCACTGGCTGAAGGACCTTGGACAAATTACGTAAGGGCCATGAATCTCAGATTCGTCATCTATTAAATGAGTATAATAATTAGTACCTACCTCGAAGAGTGGTGAGGTCGAAGTGATACGAAGTGTGTACACAGAGTGTACACTAGGAAGAGTGGTGCCCACGAATACGGACAACAGTGTGGGGATGGCTGGGGGAGAAGGGTATAAGGGGACTGAATGGCAATGGAAAAGGTACAATAAACACTCTGCAAACAAATAAATAAATAGGGGAAAAAAGAAAAAAATAGGTCTAAACTGTCCAAAGTTTAGACAGTTTAGATTGGGGGTGGGGGTGGTGATAACTTTTTCCAGAGGCAATTTTTGTGATTTTTATTACCAAGTTTATGAGGCAATAAATGTAATCTTTTTCTTCCCTAAAAATAAAATAAAATAAAAAAATAAATAAAATAAATAAAATAAAATAAAATAAAATAAAATAAAATAAAATAAAATAAAATAAAAATAAAATGGAAAGCAATGCCAAATACATGTGTCAGGTGCTCAGAAATCTAGTCTTAACCAGTGTTATATACTCTGTTTTTTGACAAAGATGATTCAAGCCTCCCAGCCACAAGCCAGCAGCAAACAACTCACCTAGAAGCTCAAGGTCTGCCAGGTAGCACTTGGGGCACTCACCTAAGGACTTGTGTGCCCACGTGCATTCAACTCCATGTAATTGGAACTGGATCTCTAACCCTGGTCACTATTGACATTCAGCCTAATGGAAGCAGTCTGGAGAAACTTCAGAAGATTTGGGAAAGGCCTCATAAAACAAAACCTTGATATAAAAAACTCAAATGAGCCTAATACTTTAAAAAAATTGGTATCGAAAATAAATTGGGTTATGTTTGTAGTTTTTGCCTAACTGAAATATTATTCTGAAGAAGTTCACAATAGTTCATATTTATTTAGTAATTTTTATCTGTAGACCTCAAACCTTTCCTCTTCCTGAAAAACTAATATTTTTAGATTAAAGTAAAAACATGCTGCTCATATTTTTCTTCTAATTTGTTGTTACCTGCTACTTCCAAACCTCCCTGAAACATAACACTAATTGGTATTAGTTACAACTCTGAACTGTTCCTGATTTTGGTAGCTTCCTCTCTGTCATATAAGGTTGATAAGTAAAATAATATATTGACATACAAAAATCATCTAACTTTGGAAGACAACTTTCAGGAAATATTTTTTAAAATTTTACACAGAGAATTGAAAACTTCTTCAAAAAGCTAATTAACAAAAAAAGAAAAATGATAGCCACTGAAAAAAACATAAAAATATTAAAACCAGCATCTAATGAAATCAAGCCGATTGAGGCCACTTAACCTAGTGCATCCCTTAACATTTCTGGGCCTTGTATTCTTCATTGTAAACTGGAGAAAATTAACTAGTTCCCGTATGATGGCATCAGTTCCTTCCAGTTCCGTGATCTGGTATTTTTGGCTTTTTCATTCTTTGTAACTCCAGCCATTGCACTTGTGAGCCTTCTCCCTGATAAACCTCACTGTCACGTGGAAGATAAAATAAGCTCAAGGATTTCAACAGAACAACTCTTGAAGTGTCATCTACTCAGAGGGATGGACCTGAGTAGTCTGCCATAGTCCCTGTGCCCAACCCCCTTGGGAAAGAAGGGTTTGGGGTGACAGTGGCCCAGTCTCCTAGGATGACCTTGAAGGAATGAAACACAGGAGAGTTAAAGCTTCATAAGCGAATGATGGTACAAGGAAAATGGCCTGGTCAAGTTTCCAAGCACAGGGTACTATTAGCAAAGGAATGGGCATCAGGGTAGAAGGCTAGTGAAGGGTTCTGGGAGACTGTGAATCCGGATGCAGGAGGGTGAAATGAACAGCTACATATTGTGAATGCTCAAAGGGCTTTGGAAACAAACAATTTTCAAATGTAGTGATTTGAGAGAGAGAGAGAAGAAAGGAGAGAGAAACATTTACTTGTTGTTCCACCATCCACTGGTTGGCATCCATTGGTTGACTCCTGTATGTGCCCTGACTGGGCATTGAACCCAAAACCTTGGTGTATTGAGATGATGCTCTAACCAACTGAGTTACCTGGCCAGGGCAGAAACACTTTAAAGCAAATATGTATTTTATGAATTTACTGAACCCATGGGTATTTGAATAATATATGTGTCTGAAACAGCATCATTTTGTTTTAACAGATAAAAATATGACTGTACATTCTTTAGAGACACACACATGCATGGTGATGAAATTCAGTGCACTGTTAGTACGTAGTCCAGCAACAATGTTGCCCAACTCAAGGTGTTTGCCTGGAGTACTGTATTCAAGAATGAAGTATAGTTGTTTTTAGGTAGATATATTCACTTGCAACGAGTAAAGGAGAGAGGAGATTCACATCCAAAGCTCTGTTTTCCCAAGAGAGGCTTGGCCACTGCTTATATACACTGTTTAGTCAGTTACAGTTTGATTCCTTCTTTACAGTTGGCTAAACTTATGGTTGGGTTCTGGTCAAGCTCATCCAGTTACAGCTGCATCTACAAAATATTGTGCTATATTTTACATTTACCAAGAATAGCATTTAGTAAGAACCCCCAGACCTTGAGACATTTGTCCTAACAATCATACCCATCTGAAGTAGGGACCTCCATGCGTAGACTAATCTTCAAGCTTTTCAGTGACAGTGGGTCCCAGGTTCTCTTCTTTCAGTGTCATCTTAGAGCTACCCCCTGCTTCTGTGGGGGAAAAGTGGCCTTTAGTAGCTCCCTATTGTCTCTATAATTAAGCCCGAGCTTTTTTTTTAGCATGGACTAAAACTTTCTCCTGCCTTCCCCAAAATACCTCAACCACACTCCTCCCTGCCCCCAACTCCTTTGAGCAATTTAAGCATTTCAGAGCTCCTCCAGTCTTTTGCCCCTCCCACCCACCTCTCCACCAGGACCCTCCCCACCTCTTCCACAGGCTAGCTGCTTCCCATGTGATCCTTCAGCTTGAGGTGGGCCTTGAGGTACCGGACCTACACACCTGGGCCATCACAGTGTTCTGCCCTCCTGCAGGGCTGGGCCATGTTTTATCTTTGTATTTTTCTACTTAACAGTGCTTATAGCACAAAAGGTGCTTGGTAAGAAGTTATTAGACAAATATATGGATAAACAAAAGATAGAAAATAATTGTAGCCCTGGCCAGTGTGGCTCAGTTGGAGCATCATCCAGTAACCAAACGGTTGTGGGTTTAACTCCCAGTCAGGACAAACCTAAGTGGTGGGTTCTGATCCCTAGTGGGGCGCATTTGGGCGGCAATCAATTGATGCTTCTCCCCAGTCCATGTTTCTATCTCTCCCTTCCTCTCTCTCTCTCTAAAAATCAATGAAAAGAACAACAAAAAAAGGTCATTGGCTGGGGAGAAAGAAGGAAGAGAAAGATGGAAGGAAGGAAGGAAGGAAGGAAGGAAGGAAGGAAGGAAGGAAGGAAGGAAGGAAGGAAGGAAGGAAGGAAGGAAGGAAGGAAGGAAGGAAGGAAGGAAGGAAATAATTGAGGAAAAGTATGCGGAGAGAGTCTAATCATAGGCCAACAAATCCTACATAGAATTAATAACACAAGGGCACTTAATTGATAAAACTGAGTCATGTAGTTAAACAATCATTTGAAAAAAATCTTACACAGAAAACGGAAAGAATGTAAGCCAGCTGACATTGATTGTGTTGCTTGAAATTAGGAAGAGGATGTACAGACTGCTTTCGGCTTTTATAGTGCGCTGTTTTGTTCTCTAAACCGGCATCCTCAGTCCTGCAGACAGGCGGCAGACCACGCCTCTGGCACCTACTGGCCCAGGTCTGACACTCCCCGAAGTTCCCTCAGAGCCATAGGCATCCTAGGCTTTGGGAGTCTCCTAGTAGCTACCCGGGGTCCAAGCCCTGCGCCAGCGGGGCTCGGACCCACCTCTGGAGGCTTGGGTAGCACAGATGCTGGGGGCCGAGGAGGGGGCGGGGTTCTCCAGTGTTCCTCTCTAAATATTTAATGGGTAGTTTCCCTTTGCTTCTGTTTCTGACTTAATTAAAGAGGAGGAAAAGGAGTTGACTACAAGAATAGTAGCAGACGGCGCATCTGGCTTGAATTTTAAAATTCCATCAAAGATTTTGTTGTTCTCGTTTTTGTTTTTTTGTTTGTGTTTGTTTTTATTTAACAGTGATCCCGTGAACTTCTCCTTGGGGGAAATGGAGCATCCACAGCCGGCCAAGTCCAGCCTGAAAGCTCTAGGGTTTATTAAAAGTAATATTTTACACAAAACCTCGACAGACATAAACTCAAAAGAAGCCGTGCGCTCCTTAAGTCAAAGTCATCTGATTGACTCGCTGGGTTTGCCCTGTGTAACCAGCGTTAAGAGCAGGATTTTTAAACATGAAAATGCAGAGAAGAAAAGAAAAGAAAAGCTAAGTCCTGCGGGCCGCCGACTCCTATTCATTATCTCCAGCAGCATATGGGACCATTCTCCTACTTGTCGTCTCCCTTTCTTCCTCAAAAGCAAAAGCAACTGAGCCTGTCCCGCTTCGCAGCAAACCCAGGCTTTGTGCCTGAGCAGTGCCTCTGCCACCACTACTACTCCCCCCGCCTCCTGCCCCCTGCTCCCTCCCGCCGCGGACTTTCGCTCGGGGAAGTAGGCGGCGGGCGCCCTTTGCGCGGGGAAGCCAGAGCCGGGATTGGGCGACGGTCCCTGAGCCTCCAGTTTCGCGTCGGTTTCAAGGCTCCTCCCTTCTGGTGAAAGACAGACTGCGGGGCGCCTGGAAACCGGTCGAAGGCGCGCGAGGGAGAGGAGAGCTAGTGAGTTGAGGGATAGACACAAATGGTCAGGCGGCGGCGGCGGAGAAGGAGGCGGAGGCGTAGGGGGGAGCGGAGGCCGCTCGGCTGCCCTGAGTTGCGCGCTCTATCGCGCCGCGGCCACTAGCGCGGCGCCGCCAGCCGGGAGCCAGCAAGCGCAGGGCCAGGAAGGCGGGACGCGACCCCGGCGCGCCCGAGCCACCCGGGCTCTCCCCGCCGCCCGCGCTTCATGAATCGCAAGTTTCCGCAGCGGCGGCGGCTGCGGGACGCGGAGTGGGAGCCGGAGGAGCGGGTAGAGCGCGGCACGGGCTGGACGGAGGGAACCGGCGTGGAGGAGACATCCCCGACCGCTGGGAGAGCCGCCGCCCGCCGCGCCACCTCCAGCCCCAGCCGAGCCGTGCAAAGAAAGGAGCCGAGAAAGTATGGCTGAGGAGGAGGTGCCTAAAAAGTCCCGGGCCGCCGCCGCTGCCGGCGGGTGCTGGGAACTTTGTGCCCGGGCTCTCCCGGCGGGGCCGGCGGCAGAAGGGAGTTGGGACGCTGGCCACCGCCGCCGCTGCCCCCCAGTTGACTCTCGGCGCTTGGCGCGCTGGCTACTGCTCCTGCTTTGGCTACTGGAGGCCCCGCTGCTGTTGGGGGTCCGGGCTCAGGCAGCGGGCCAGGGGCCCGGGCCAGGTCAGCAGCCCCCGCCGCCGCCGCCTCAGCAGCAACAGAGCGGGCAGCAGTACAACGGCGAGCGGGGCATCTCCATCCCGGACCACGGCTACTGCCAGCCCATCTCCATCCCGCTGTGCACGGACATCGCGTACAACCAGACCATTATGCCCAACCTGCTGGGCCACACGAACCAGGAGGATGCGGGCCTTGAGGTGCACCAGTTCTACCCTCTGGTGAAGGTGCAGTGCTCAGCCGAACTCAAGTTCTTCTTGTGCTCCATGTACGCGCCTGTGTGCACTGTGCTGGAGCAAGCTCTGCCGCCCTGCCGCTCCCTCTGCGAGCGCGCGCGCCAGGGCTGCGAGGCGCTCATGAACAAGTTTGGCTTTCAATGGCCCGACACGCTCAAGTGCGAGAAGTTCCCGGTGCACGGCGCCGGCGAGCTGTGCGTGGGCCAGAACACTTCGGACAAGGGCACTCCGACACCCTCTCTGCTGCCGGAGTTCTGGACCAGCAACCCCCAGCACGGCGGCGGGGGACACCGTGGAGGCGGCTTCCCCGGGGGCGCCGGAGCATCGGAGAGAGGCAAGTTCTCCTGCCCGCGCGCCCTCAAGGTGCCCTCCTACCTCAATTACCACTTCCTAGGAGAGAAGGACTGCGGCGCGCCCTGTGAGCCGACCAAGGTGTACGGGCTCATGTACTTCGGGCCCGAGGAGCTGCGCTTCTCGCGCACCTGGATCGGCATCTGGTCGGTGCTGTGCTGCGCCTCCACGCTTTTCACGGTGCTCACGTACTTGGTGGACATGCGGCGCTTCAGCTATCCGGAGCGGCCCATCATCTTTTTGTCGGGCTGTTACACTGCCGTGGCGGTGGCCTACATCGCCGGCTTCCTGCTGGAGGACCGGGTGGTGTGTAACGACAAATTCTCCGAGGACGGGGCGCGCACTGTGGCGCAGGGCACCAAGAAAGAGGGCTGCACCATCCTCTTCATGATGCTTTACTTCTTCAGCATGGCCAGCTCCATCTGGTGGGTGATCCTGTCGCTTACCTGGTTTCTGGCGGCCGGCATGAAGTGGGGCCACGAAGCCATCGAGGCAAACTCGCAGTATTTTCACCTCGCCGCCTGGGCCGTGCCGGCAATAAAGACCATCACCATTCTGGCGCTGGGCCAGGTGGATGGCGATGTGCTCAGCGGGGTGTGCTTCGTGGGGCTTAACAACGTGGACGCGCTGCGTGGCTTCGTCCTAGCTCCTCTCTTCGTGTACCTGTTCATCGGCACGTCCTTTCTGCTGGCCGGCTTCGTGTCACTCTTCCGCATTCGCACCATCATGAAGCACGACGGTACCAAGACCGAGAAGCTGGAGAAGCTCATGGTGCGCATCGGCGTCTTCAGCGTGCTTTACACCGTGCCAGCCACCATAGTCATTGCCTGCTACTTCTACGAGCAGGCCTTCCGGGACCAGTGGGAACGCAGCTGGGTAGCCCAGAGCTGCAAGACCTACGCCATCCCCTGCCCCCACCTCCAGGCCGGTGGAGGGGCTCCACCGCACCCGCCCATGAGCCCCGACTTCACAGTCTTCATGATCAAGTATCTTATGACGCTGATCGTGGGCATCACGTCCGGCTTCTGGATCTGGTCCGGCAAGACCCTCAACTCCTGGAGGAAGTTCTACACCAGACTCACCAACAGCAAACAGGGGGAGACCACCGTCTGAGGCCTGGGGGCTTGCTCAGCCTATTCCCAGCCCTCAGCCCGTCCCCAGCCACCCTGAAAACCTTCCCCCATGGAATTCCGACCAAGCCTGGCTACTACAGGCTTCCTCACTAGACAATTTCGCGGGCTTCTTTTAACAGCATAACTCCTGCAAAAGCTTCCGTCCCTGGGGGCAAACGGACTCAAGGGCCCAATTTCTTGAGGGGGGGATGGACCGACCTCTCTCGCTGGTACCAGCACTGTATGCTTTTATGATTGTAAATAGCCTGTGTAAGATTTTTGTAAGTATATTTGTATTTAAATGACTGATCTCGCGTTTTCTTTTCCTTTGTTTTTTTTTTTTTTTGGATTTAAATATGAATTCTTTAAGGCTGTCTAACCATTCGAGGCTTCTCTCTCTTCCCTTTCCAGAGTGCTGCCGAGACCTGCGGGAGTGACCTGCGGGAGTGCACCCGCTGGGTGCTCCGGCTGGTTGGCTTGCGCCCCTCCCTGCAGCGCTGGGGTGGTGCGTCTGGGACTGCGCTGTTCGGGTCACTTCCCACCTCCTCTTTCTGCTCCCTCCCTTCCCCTCCTTGCTTGAGTTTGGAGATAGTAAGGTCCTGACCGTTCAAGCTTTGGAGTCTGCCCTTGTTCGGGGCCCAGATTTGTCCCTTTGACTTCCCCAAGCTGATTTTTCCACTGTCGAGAACCTTACCCCTAGCTTCAAGGAGGCTGGTGGTTTGTGGTTACTGAAAGTCCCAGACTCCCGCCCTCCGCGCTGGCCTCCGAAGCCCAGACAGTCCCTCCTTCCACCTAAGTCGGTTAGAGGGTGAGTGGGATAAGCAATGCCAAACTTTTTAAAGTCTGATTTTTGGTGGATGAGCTCATTTCATTCTCTAGTGTCTAAAACCCGGTATGAGTTTGGCCAGCGTCGTGGAAAGATGCAGTTACTGAGATTGGGAAAGAGGCACGAAGCTTTGTGTGGGTTGGAAGAGACCGAAGATGGGGCTTATAAAACGTTCATTCTAATTGTACACCGACGCCTGGCCACCTGCCTTCAGGACTGAGTTCGAGTATAGATTTTAGCTTTCTGTAAAATGGAAACGTTGAGGTCACCTGCAAACCTTTGTCAAGGAGCTGATTGATCTTTGCTCTTCTTTATGGGACAGCAGAACGTAAACTAAATATGAAAACTTGAAGGAGATTTCAGTGCAATGGGCTTCCTCAAAATGCAGTGCTACTTTAGGATTTTTTTGGTCAAATAATAATTAGACATATATCAGAAACTTTAAAATGTAAAAGGTGTATTTTCAACATACTATGATTCTTACTCAGCAACATCTGAGGGAGGAATAATCCACATCATTAGTACCAACCTGGTAAAGGAAGTGGACTAACTGATGGGATTAGCTCCTGAAATATACAAAACATGGGCATGCGTGCTCAAAATATCCGCAGGTCTGCTGCATGGAATCCTGTGCACTCCCGTTTGGATTTACAGAAATGTATCAGATGTAAATCTTTCAAAGCCATTTAAAAATATTCACTTTAGTTCTCTGTGAAAAAGACGAGAAAAGCAATCCTCCTGATTGTATTGTAAACTTTAAGAGTTTATCAAAATGCCGGTACTTAGGAGCTAAATTTATCTGTGTCTGTCATACCCTAAAATGACAATGGTCTTTGAACTTGGTATGCATTTATTCTGTTCACTAAATCATTTATATTTATAGAGGAATAGAAGTTTATATATATATAATACCATATTTTTAATTTCACAAATAAAACAATCAAAGTTTTGTACAAAATTATATGTTTTTTGTGCCTGAAAACAATAGAGTGGAAACTGTCTAAACTATGAACTAGCTTTATATTTTATAGTGTCTAGTGGCCAGTCCCACAGTATATAAATTCAGGAATTCAATGAAAAAGCCTGTCTTTAAACCTTCGTGCTGTCTTTCCAAGCAGTTATCCTATTTGCATTGTGACTGACATTGTGAAGTCCCCAGGAAAGATATGCATTCATGATAGTAACTCTAAAATACGAGTTTGAAAATTATTTCTTTACTCAAAGAAGAGTATTAAAGAGAGAACCCTAATTTTAATATTAGAGTTTTTTTTCTTTCAAGGGGTAAATTTACATGACTTTTTATAATATGGAGGTTTATTTTTAAATCATCAGCCATCCCCTTTATCACAATTTTTATAAAGTATTATCTTATATTTTCCATAATCTTGGATATTCTAAAACCCTACATAGGTATTCAGTAAATGGTTAACTGACTGTGTTTATAAGCATTTTAAGCAGCAGTTGGGTGTATAAGACTGTTTTGTTGTTTGCTTTCGAAGACTCCATTTTTATATTGTTCAAGGAACCTTCTCCAGAAGCATTATCTAGTTGGTCTACTCTTAGAATTTATATATATATATAAGTATATATAAATGTATAATATATGTATACACATATATCTATATACATATAAGTATACATACACATTAATTTTTATAAAATAGAGATGCAAAGTTTACTTATACACTTTAAAATATGGAATTAAGGTTATGAGAAGTGGAAAATACCAGGTGGAAAACCTCAAATACCTTTGAAAAACATGTCTCTTATTCCTTTACAGTCTAAAACTATCTTGATTACATTTTCCATGAAAACACTTTGTGGTAAAATGACAAGGGGTTAAAATGAAGACCATCGATACAATAGAGTTACTTTCATGGTTGTAAGGTAATTGTCTTATAAGTCATCATTATTTATTTTCAGGCAAATGAAAAAGGTAAATCTACTGGAAAATACAACATTCAGTTTTAAGTACCAAGATGCAGTTTGATGTTTTGTTCTTTGTTACATTAATCTACCACAGTAGATATATGAGAAGGTTTTATCATATAGACACACACAAAAAATAACAATTCTTACAACAGATCAAAACATGTCACCTCACAAGATAATTCAATCAGATAATTTCTGGGGGGGGGGAAATTTAGATTATTATTCTCTATCCAAGAAATAAATATAAAGCATTCTTATTATATGTGTCCTTAATGTAACTATAACTTTGATACAGAAAGGTTTGATAGTGCTGGATTTCAATACCTTTAAAAGACATATTTAAGTCAACACCAGGCTTTGTGTTTAGGAAACAACTAATTTAAAGTTATGTAGAATATAGAAAGTCAGTGTATTATTTTGTTTCTTTAAATACTGGTGGCAAAATAAGACTTTGCTGGAAAATTGTGAAGCTGCTGGGAATATGGTGCCATTAACATACTGTTTCCATGATAAACCTATTTTCAGATGATTTGGTTTGCTCACTTTATTTTTTTTGAACCAGCTATCAATGGGAGTCAATTTTCTCCCTTACGATGTGCTTAATTCCGCTTTCATACATAGTACAAAAGCCTTCTGATGCTCTTTTTTTTAAAAAGCCATTTTTAACTTAAACTTTGTGGGGGCAGAAAGTCATATTTTTAAATCTCAAAGCCAGCCAATATCAAACATAGCAAAACAGCTGGACCGGATTTTTCAGTTGGTATGGGGTAGTCACTTGTCAGCCTGAGTTTACAGGCCTGGCCCTTTTGTCTCCAGTGAGCACTGAAGCCTCTTCTCGTTGCATCATTTCTGAAGTCCAGCACTGAACCAGGAGAGGAGACCACAGCGAAGAGTTTGGTGGCCAATTAAGAGAAAAAAATTGCCTAAACCACAAACCAATTCTGGACCTGGATGGCTTCCAATCACTTCCTGATATCATGTTTCAATCTTGGTATATTTGTGATTGTTTTCAAAGATGCTATGTATTTAGTGCGTGTGTTTGGGTTCAACTTCAGCAACTCTAGCTTTTATTGCTTTCTAATCCATCTATTGGCTCTAGGCCACATTTTGTGTAACGTACATGCAGTTAATTGAAACCAGTGGCGTGACACTGGGTATCCTGATACATGTCTGATTATACTGTTCTGTGTAACCAGGGACTGAGAGATAAGAATCAAATTGTGGTGATTACCTATGTCTTAAGGTGAACACTAATAGAGTTATTGAATACTTTACAGAATATGCTAACTTCAAAATTTTGCAGGATTACCCCTAGGAGCCAAAATAAGATATGGATTACATGTAAGAACTCTACAGTTACATTACAAAAAAGAAATTGCAATACTGCCTGAAATTCAAGGCTCTTATCTTAAGGCCCTTACATTTGACATGGGGGGTCTTACAAGGGCCCTTGTCAAACAAGGTACAGCTTATTTTGGTGATTCCTAAGATTTATATCAATATTTTGAACCTTTGGCAGATATTAGTAGAATCTGAAAAATGGTACTTGGGCTTCAATCATGACTCAGAATTCCCTTAAGCTTTCTGGGCTTAAATATTTCTGTACACTTTGGTCATACCTTTTAACAATGGGTATGTTAAACCATAACAATTATAGTGACAAGCTTGTTTGGAACCTGGAGATTAAAAGGCAGATAGACTCTAGACTAATTTTATTAAGGTTTATCATGATTTGTGGTGACAGGTGTCTCTGTTCCACTACAAAATCAAGTTTCTATTTAAATATAATAACACTTCCTTTGTGTAGTTTTACTTATGAGTTGGTGTGGGACCCTAATAACAGGTCAAATCAAAGGACTCCTCACAGAAATCTTTATCGTGCAATAGATAGTCTCGAGTGCAATCTACAAGTACATCTTGTAATGGACATAGAGGGAGTATCCTAAAGGTTATCATCAGCTTTATGTCAAGCAGATTCTTAGACTGCTTTAAAAAACAAGCATTTTCCAAAAGATTTCTCTAAAACATTTTATATTAAGATGGTAATATTCTAAAGAGGCTTATTTGGGGGTGATAAAGCCAAGTTATGTTTTCTAAAGGAATCATTAATACACTAGTTGAATGGCATAGTTGTATAACTAATAACTCTCTAAAAGCAAAGCATTAGAATAGCATTGATTTGAACATCTTACACAAGCATTCTATTTTTTAAAATAAAATTGGCTTGCTTGAAGACAATTTTAAGTTTTAAAATGTATCATATGCATATTTCATATAAGCTTTCATTCACAGTATTGACTTTCAAAACATGTTCATAGGAATACAGTGATTAACATGAAAAGGAACCACTATTGCTGCTTTGAGGTAGTTCTCTTTGGCCTGGATTTCTTTTCTTTTCTTTTTAAAAACCAAGTATCCTCTAATTTGTGGATATCTCCATGTTTCAGATCTCAGTACCTGTTTGAATTAAATTTGCAGGGGAATAACTGCAGGGTCCCCCCATAGACAAAGTGTGGCATTTATTTCTTTTCAAGTTGGCAGTGCATCCTTGCTTCAACGAAGTGCTCTGAGACAGATTGTTCTCTTGCCCTTGGAAATGCTCATCTTCACAAACTTAGCGGCAAATACCTGGAAGTCATACAGGCTAGTTAAATGCATATTCCAAATGCCAACTGCTACTTTTATAAGGATTTTTTTCTTTAAAGGTAGATTTGGAGACTATTCTTGACCTTGTATTTCCAACTCTTGGAAAACATTCATTAAAAGCTAACTTCAATAAATACTCTATTCAAAACTCAGAGGGGGACACACTACCCACATTTGCCCTGGGGCCAAGGGGTTTCTTGGGATGTGGGACTCTCAGTAGTAAAACAAGGGACGTTATGGACAAACTGGGATGGTGGGCCTCCCTGTTAATGATTAAATTGTGCTTCCGAGGTAGAGCAAAAGCTTGCAGGTTGGTGACTGGTTCAGCATTAACAGTATTCCACTGTAGCCTTAGCCTTTTTCATTACCAGATCACAAGCCGATGAACCCAACCCTTCACAGTAGCTGATCTTCACAGTCAGAACCAATCAGTAGAAGCTTAGTGGAAGGCAAAGGTGCAGTGGGACAAACCACATTGATATCTTGGCCATTCTACTTGAGCCTTCTTCCTCCTGCAAAAATGGGGTGTAGATAAAGGAATCTGAGCCCTGTTCCAGCTACTTATGAAATCAGGGTAAGGAGGTATTTTTATAAAAGTCTCTCAAAAGTGTTCCCGTGGAATGCATAAAGGTTTTTTTAATTGATATTACAGTTTGTCAAATTGTCAGGAACCGTCAGGTTTTTGCATATGTTTATGTTTTCCTGCACAATGATGCACCTCCTGGAATGAGATTGCAAACTCAAACAGGGACTTACTCCAAATGGCTATTTATCAACGTACACTTTTTCTCAGAGGTCAGTTAAGTTTAGCACCCATACTTTTCCCAAAATGAAAAGTTCTATCTACAGGAAAGAACAAAGAAGTAGACAAGTAGAATTCCGTGATCACTGGTCATCATCAAATGCAGCGTGTGGACTGCGCGCTCCAGGGGCTTCACATTTCTATTCGCGTCCAACTCTTCGGTCAGAATTGTCCACCCCTTTCTATACTCAGTTCATCCTTCTTATCATTCTTCTCATCTGTCCATTCCTGTCATCCCTCTCGGAAATGCACATAAAATTTCACTTCCTTTGTGGTTGAAACAAAACACTGTTCTTGCTGTCTCTTAATTAAACTCGATGTAAAGGGATAAAAAAAGATGTGCAGATAATGTAATTATGTCAGGGGGTACCTACACATTAGACTGCATAGCTATGATTCTCATTTGACAATATTCAAACACGTTTTTGATGGTCATGGCCAGGGGTGGGGTTACTATGGCCATTTAGACAGTGGAGACCAGAACATGGCACAGGGAGGCCCCTGACTACAAAGAATTATCCGATCCAAAGTGCCAAAGTTGAAAAACCATGCTCTAGAGGAATGCTTAAAATTTTGAAAAATACATATTTGAACAATGAAATACCTTAAATACATAAAATATATAAAATAGAATTGAGGAAAAATACAAATTTACTGTGCCTACAGCATGGGCTTTACTTTTGACCTGCAGATTTCATTTTATTTTTTAAATATTTTATTTATTTATTTTCCAAGAGAGGGGAAGGGAAGGAGAAAGAGTGGGAGAGGAATATCAACGTATGGTTGCCTCTCATGCGTCCCCTGCTGGGAACTGGCCTGCAACCCAGGCATGTGCCCTAACTGGGAATTGAACCGCGATACTCTGGTTCACAGGCCCGCACTCAATCCACTGAGCTACGCCAGCCAGGGCTGCAAATTTCATTTTAAATTGTTGAATAGCTGATGATATTGCAGACCTGTCTGTATCTTCCTCTCCCTGGGCTGCTATAACTATATATCATAGACTGGGTAGCTTAAACAACAGACATTTTTTTCTCATAGTTTGGAGACCTGGGAAGTTCAAGATCAACGTGCCAGCAGAGACAGCTTCTAATCCTGCTTCCAGGTTTATTGACAACCGCCTTCTCATGGTGGGCTCTCATGGGGGTGGGGGGACAAAGAGAGAAAGAGAGATCTTCAAGTAAGGGTAATAATTCCATCATGAGGGACCCATACTCGTGACCAAATCTAAGCCTTGTTATTTCCCCAAGACCAAATTTGGAATTTGGTACTCCAAATACCATCACATTTGGGGTTAGGACTTCAACATAAGAATTTGGGGAAAAGCAAACATTCAACCCTTAACAGTCAATCATATAAATGTGCTTTTATTATTTAGATCTAAACAGGGACCTAGAACATCATTTCAGTAGAAATCAATCTGTAAATAACAAATTTATTGAAAAAAAAATTCTTAAAACTGTCAGTCTTGTGCTATTATACTTCATATTCCATATTCCCATTTTCTTTTACACATTTCCCTGCATCACTGAAGGTGTTATGGTGCAGAGGAATTACTCTGGCCTGGGAGCCAGAAAACCTGGGTTCCTGCATTGGCTGGGGAAATCAGGTTAAGGTACTTTGGATGAGTCTGACCCATAGGGCTTCATGAGTCTAGTGGAGGCACTAAGGACAAAATGAGCGAGAAAGCCCTTTTGTAAACAGTGAAGCCACGTACAAATGTGAGGGTTTTTACTATCAATCACATTGAGCTAGTCAGGTAAGGAGGAGACTGAAACCCCTTAAAGGCTCCCCCTCAGCGTTGGCTGCCGCTCTTTCCCCAGCTTCAGAAAAGGATGCTCTAGTCGCTGAAGTCACCCAAGGTGGCGGGCCTCTCTGCAGTCCTCCTGGCCACCCCTCCTCTGTCTTTCTCACTACACTTGGGTTGTCTTGAACACATGCAGGATGCTCCCAGTTCTCCTGAGGCTCTGGTGAACTTTAATAAATCAATCTGCAGTGCAGTTGCTGCATCATTTGACAGATGTTGGGCCCTGGTTAGACGGAAGGAGGCTCTTGTTGAGAGGGCTGGTTTGGGGCAAGAATTCTGCTTCCGAGGTGTTGTAAGATCAGGGGAGTGGGAGGACTATGAAGATGTTCTAGGTCCAAACGTGCAAATTCACAAGCAGACACTTCTGATTGAGAGCCCCCACAGAGTGTCACGGCTGGGCTCTGTTTGTCCATTTGCTCATCGAGGAGTTGGGGTAGATGGAAGAAGCAGCCTGGGCAGGGTAAGGGGGAGGGGTCTTTATGTCTTGAAGGTGGACACATTGAGATCATTTGTCATTGGAAGGGATAAAAAAAGAAAGGGGTATAATGAAAACCGAAGTCAACTATTCTTTCCCAGGGCTAGCCCTCATGGAGTTGAGTAAAATAGTTGAATGGAAACATCTCTTGAATAAGGCCGTAAACTTGGATTGGAAATAACACCTTCTTTCCTCATTCTCCTTTAAAAAAATCAATTTCAAGATAATAGGGAACTGGAAACAGAGAAGTTGAATGTCATCTTGGAAAGAATGTTGGGCTTGTGAAACCTGACTTGAATCCCAACTAGCTCTTAGCCTCAGATCTGTTCATCTAAAATGGTAACAATAATAATATTTTACTAAATTGGCTGTTAGGAGAGTTAAAGAAATAAAGTGCATAGTGGTATTTTAGCATTAGTCATTTACAAACCTTAGTCCTCCTCTCCTCACTGTATATTTCTTTTCTCTCTTCCCCTTCTACCTGTTCTTTACTCCTCCTCCCCTCCTCCCTCATCTCCCAGAATTCCTCTCCCTTCACCTCCTTCTTCCATCACCGTTATGGCTGATGGGAATTGAAAAGGCATAATGCAAACTGATGTATTTTTCCTGCATCTTCTTTTCAGCTAAGCATGTTTTACAAGACTTACTCAGACAAAAGATTAAATTTGTGGGCAGCTGTAAGGTTAAATAACACATATAACATTCCGTATACTAACTAGTGATATTGCTTTTAAAGCATAAGTGCATTTCCATGCAGTCATGCCCAGTTTGAATACAACATTTCAAATTTATTTCCTTTGCAGCTGCTCACAGCTCTGACCTACCTGGTAGGCTGCATACTTGGATAATGTGGCAAGAGCCCTTCGAGGCCACTCCAAATCATGACCAGGGAGAGAGTCATCATTTCCTTCTAGGAACACGCTCCTTACTGCAATGATAACTAATTGAAGAATTGAAGGAGTCCTCTGTTTGTCTTTTTTGACTATATTGCCAAAGGGAACTTATTCAATAGCATTCAGAAAATATTCCTTTGGGGCTACTAAAACTTACTGAATATATTTTAGTGTGTGGAGTTGGGCAGGGCTGAAGGTTTATCTTAAAGTTGTCGACTGGTCGTTTTATTATTTTCTTATATGGAAAGAACAGCTGGCTATCTGGTGCTTTGGTCGCCCCCATGGTCTAGTGTATTGATTTTCTACTGCTGCTGTATTGAATTACTATAAACCTGAAAGCACACATTTGTTGCCTTACTGTCCTGTAGGTTGGAAGTCTAACACTGGTTTCATTGGACTACAGTCAGGGTGTTGCAGGACTGTGTTCCTTTCTGGAGGCTTTTTCAGCTTCCAGAGGTTGCCTGCTACGTCATGGCACCTTCCGCATCTTAAACCCCAGCAGCCCTGGTTCAAGTCTTTTCTCTTTCTGTCTGATTCTCTCCAGCTGGGAATGGTCTCCTTCTGTGAAGAACTTATATGATTAGATCGATACAGAATCAGGTTCCCAGGATCAGAGTGCTCCCATCTGTGGAGGACCCATACTCTACCTGTCTGTCACCTCTCTCTTTAGGAGTTGGAAACAGTTAGATGATCTTTCTCTTGCAGAGTATTCCCATTGCATTCTTGTTCTTTACAATTCTTTATTTTAAAAACTGGCTTCCTAAATTTCTTTTATTCTCCATTTCATTCTCTCGAAATATGATTTTATCAATGGTCAATTCTTCATTGATTCTCTCTATTTACCCGTGTTCCTGGTAAGCAGTATGCAGATCACTCTAATCCTCTAAGTCGACTGTATTTCTTAATATTCCAGATGTCATCTGTCACCTTGCTACATAGCCTTTCCTTTGCTACCTGATACGTGGTTTCAATACATCTCTCTCTAGATTCGTATTTTCTTCCTGTCCCAGAAACAGATCAGAAACAGATGGTGATTGACTAAATCAACCCTCTTCTCCCAACTGAACACGTATAACCCCACTATTTTTTTTACTACAGGTGATATAACCACATGGTTTTTATCATATCTGTCAAATTATTGCATGTTTGCCCTTTGGTGAAGGGCTGGATGTGAGAGACAGTGGACACAGCACATCTCATCTCTGTAATCCTACCTGCGTTTCTGGCTGTGATTATGGGTTTTAATTCTTCATGAAGTTACCATAATATTTATAGACAAAAACTTTTTTCTCATGATCTTTAAATATTTTGTTAAAAAAATATGGATTGCCTGAGTTGCATTTTATACAAATTCAAGTAATGAATATATGTGCCCTGGTTTAAAATATTATGTTGATATTTTTGGAGGAGAAAATTTTCCAGCACTACAAAAGCATCTGTAAAAATGTTCTTTAAAATGAAATTTTTAGTCTACACTAGAAACCAGTGGATTTTTTTCTATATACACTATTATGGCCAAAATTACATCTTTCCTCTCATATGCATTTAAATATGTCTGGAAAATATATGCCTTTTCAGCAGCTATTTAAGAGAAAGGATTTCACATTTTTATAGCTATCCCCAAGCATACATTATTTGTAAGCATCTGGATTTGCAGGGATTATATATAAATGTAGTAGTATTTCTAGAAATCAGTAATGAGTTAAAATATATGAAGAATTTAATACTACTATCATTTATCTTCTTTTAAAATTTTATATCATTTATACTTCCTGTAGCTCTTTTCCTGAACAGGAAAATTCAGTGACAGGCCAGAGGTCACCTCAATGTGGTAATGGCTCTATAAATAAAAAAGATATGTTTCAATAATATAGAGCTTCATTAGAACCTAGTCAAGTTAATGTGGGAGGTGTAGGGCATGTTAAAGATCTCAGACAGGGCAAGTTATAATGAAACCTCATTCACTGCTAACTAAAATAAAACCAGATGATCCTCAAAAGATACAACATTTATTGGAGGTGGCAAAGGGTTACTAGGAATTCTTAAAATTGATTGTGCATAAGATTCATTCAAGGAGCTCATTAAATATGAGGATTTCTGAGCTCGTTTTCAGAGATGCTGATGTCGTGGACCAGGGGAAAAGATTCAGGAGCTTTCCATTCTGATGATTCTGATGCTGGAGGCCCTTGAGATGGTCTTCAAAATCCTGGGTTAAGTGAAGTTAAGGACATGGGGAAAGGATGGATAGAAAGAAAAAAATGGCTTAGAGAAGGAACACACTAGCAGACCCAGGTGGGACATGCTGATCTCGGATGAAAACTGGTGACAAGATAGATTCCCAGGAGTGGCAGCACCGGTGGGAACTTCAGCTCCACCACCCTGTCCTCCAGTTTTTGACAGGGACAAATGATGTTTCTCAAGCTTGTGTGAAGTGTTTAGCAAACACAGCTTCGAAACAAGCCTCCTCTTACAATGACTTATGCCAACTTCTCTGAACTCAGAGCCTGAAAACTGTAGGAACTAGCTTCTCAGAATTCTCAATGCAGACCAGGCTGGTCCTGATTTAAATTGAGAACAGCCTTGTGTGCCCAGCAAGCCTCTCTCCAAGACCACTGAGTGGTCTGCCCAGGTCTGAAATTCTAACAGATACCTTATAGTTACCCCTAGAAGACTTGGCAGAGTAAAATCAGTTCACCAGCCACTAGGTAGGGAAGGAGAAGAAGAGGGATTCTCTCTTGCCGAGATGCAGCTTCTGACAGGGGCACAGAGAGGGGGAACAATGCAGCAGGTGGAGGCTTGATGGGCAGGCAGAGGAGGGACTTCAGAAGGCCCCTGGTCTCCCCAGGTGGGCCTTTCAGTGGGGCAGCCATGGGCGGAAGCTGGGCACCGAGGCTTCTCTGGTGGCTCAGTTTCCCATCCTTTCTGATGTTGTTTGTTTCGGTTTTTCATACAACTGACATCTTAGAAGGCTCTTCCTTCCCAGGGAATTCACTAATCAAGGTAACACTCTATTTATTTTCATAAACAAGGCCTATGAAAGAGCGGTTCCTTCATTAACTAAGAAATGTGATCATTTCCGCTGTTGTACCGGGTGCTTCAAAGCACCATTGTCGTTCTTCACATCAATTACTCCAGGTTCCTGGGAAATGTAAGACAGGACTAAAGTATATCCCAGCTGATTTTACAAGATTAAAAAAAAAATCCCAAACCTAAGTTATCTAAACTCATGTTGTCTTCAGCATGTTAAGCACTTGCTTTATAGGAAAGAATAATCACAGGACAAAGGAGAGGGCCGTCCTGTCTTTTCAGAATGAAGTCATTTTACTCCATAGAACTTACTGGAGCTGGGAGAGTTTCAAGCAGCCACTTCCTGTGTGCTGGGTACACACTGGGACGAAATACCTCCTCCACGTACAGTGAATGCCACGTAGTGTCTAGGTAGGAAATATGGAGAAACATTTTTGGTAGTTTTAAAAATTATTAAAATGTTTTTATGGTCTAAGTGAAAATAGATATTGAATTTCAAAAATAAACACTTAGTCAATCTAATTAATTACTAATACCTAGTCTGAATACCAAATTCAAAGAACACAGAGCTCATGACTAAAAAGAAAGAAAAAGGATTTAGTCACTTAGCAATTATTCCTTCCAAATAACAAATTGTATAAACTTCAAAGCTGAAAAATCCAAAATTTTTATAAGGCTTTTAAAGAAAGTTATAACAGAAAGTACCTGAGTTCAGTAGAGATGGTTGAAATGATAATCAAAGAAAGTCCTTTGTAGGAAAGTAAAATTGATCTATGTCCCACACATCCCACTCGCCCCAACTAATTTTTCAAACTCCCTTTTAAAAAATTGACATATAATTCACATGCCATAAAAGTCACCCCTTTAAAAAGTGAAAAGGGCAGTGTGTTTTTGAAATTTCACAGTTATACGACCTCACAGCTACCCAATTTCAGAATATTTTATGACGTCAGAAAGAGGCTCTGACCCCTCAGCAGACACTCCTTCCTCCCCTCATCTGTTTTCTGTCCGGATACTTCCTATCAATGGAACCTGATGGTTTCTAAGTTCATTCACTTCATTCCTTCTTATGGCCGAATAATATTCCACTGTATGATTTACTACATTTTGCTTCCCTAGTCCTCAGCTTGGATTGTCTCCATTTTGTACTATTGTGAATGATGCTGCTATGAACATTCGTGTATAAGTGTGTGTGTGAAAATGTGTTTTCTCTTCAGAGTGGTGCTGGGTCATGTGACTGTGTTTAATTTTTTGAGGACCCGTGAAACTGCTTCCCAAAGCGTTTTCACCATGTTTCAACAATGCATGTGGGCTCCAATTCCTCCACATCATCTCCAGCACTTGTTATTGTCTTTTTCTTATAGCCATTTTCATAAATAGAAATGGTATCTCATCGTGGTTTTGATTTGCATTTTGATTCTTTCAATATTTTGAAATTAAGTCAATGGCGAAAAAAGAAAGGAACTGAACTGCATGGTGGTCGTCATGCCTCCAAAACTGTGGAAACAAAGCAACTCCGGAATTGTGCGTAACTTACCTGTTTATTTATATATCCCTATTAACAAAAAGGATGCATGTGGTTTATCAAAATGTGTAGTGTAACAAATATAGAAAAATAGAAAATATTACTATATAGCAGTGATTTTTAATCTCTTTCATCTTATGGCACACATAAACTAATTACTAAAATTCTGTAGCACACCAAAAAATATATTTTTTTGCTAATCTGACAAAAATAGGTATAATTTTGATTCATTCACACCAGACAGCTGTTTCATACTATACTGTTGTATTGGCTGTTGTCATTTTCTTACTTGGCGGTCTAAGGGAAAAGAGGTCAGTGCCCCTGACTAAATAGTCAGTGTTGCATGTTTTAAAAATTCTGTGTCACAATGATTGAAAATCACTGCTATACAGTAATAGGACTCACTCTATTGGGTGAATAGAAAACATGTGCAGTAATCTGTGATGTGCAATGGGCAGAGTATAACATTTTGTATGCTCACCAGAGGCAGGTTAAAATTTTGTATCTGAGCTTCCCAAGAGCCAAGGTAAAGAGGCAAACTGTAAAACCCATAATGCTCATAATATTACAAACAAGTTATAATTCTTTACTATTTAGAGTCATCATTCTCTACATGTTTCCTGTAATATCAGGAAGATTCTTAATTTCGACGCAGCCCTTCCCACTGCTGATTATTCCAGATGATAGCTAAACTTGGCCTCCAACTTCCTTCCGCTCTGCTAGTCCTTATCTGCACTCTGTCTGCCCTGCCCCCACTACCCCTGAAGAAATTCAAATGACAGTGTTATTTGTCATTATAGGTCCTTAAGACTCCCAGACAGAATTACTTTTCCTTTTTCTGTGTTCCCACAGCACTTTGTAAGCAGCCATTGCGTAGACTTTCTCACTGCGGTTTGTTTATGAGTCAGTCTTCCCCATCGGACAGCGATGGCTTTCACAGGAGGGAAGTGTCTTCATCTTCGCACTCCCAGCCCCTGGCACAAAGTGGGCACCTGGCAGAGGGTGGTTGTGTCAAACCGATTAACTCAATCACTCCTGACTTCCCACCCAGCGAATGAAGTCGTGAATGCGTGCTCTGAATGCACGTCGCTTTGTGACCGTCCTTCTATAAAAGTGACCCCTGGAATTAAAAAAAAATAATCTCAGGTTTTAGCCCACCATCTGCTCTGGAAACCAGGTTTTCCTCGGCTTCCACTTTCCAACCTAAATGGAGGCCTTTATTTATATCCCTAATAAACGTAATCTTATTTCTTGCAGAAAAAGATAACCTCATCTTGCCAGACTAAAATGATCAACTTCACTTTTAATTCTGTCACGTCACATCTGCTATGTCAAGCTGTTTGATGTCATCTGTGTATGGGGGAATGGTGTGAAATATGTGCATTGATTTGCCTCTTTAATGTAATTATATATTTAGTGCCAAAGGGGAGAAATATTCAGTCCGTTTAATTATTTATTGGGAAATTTTTGTTATTCTCCTGACTTAAGATTCTAAAACATCGCATTTCTCTCCCCCTCTGCCCCCTACCAAAGCTTTACATGGTTGTAAAAAATGTCATCATTTAATATATGTGTCCTCTCCCTGTGCCTCCCTGACCTCCACAGGCCCACGCATGTGTCCCCACTCTGCACTCCTGTAAGCATCCTGCTTATTGTCCTAGAACTTGCCACAGTTCTGCAATAACAGTCTGTTTCACTCAGTATCTCAATAGCTTAGCACATTGCCTGTCTAAAATTTTATTTGAGCCAAATATACTTTAGTTCTATTATATAATATGTACAAATACAACATTCTTTCATGTGGTTCTACCACCGGATCAGTAACTAAAAAGGGGAGGTGTGCTATCTCAAAATAGTAAGACAGATGTTATTTGAGGAAAGGTTAAGGCAGTCAGCAAATCAAGTGATTTCTCTGATAGCACCAGTTCAGGTTTACTACAAACTAGTCAAATAAGGACTTACATTCAGCAACATTTAAAACCTCCTAAAGTATGGAATATAGCATGTATCAATAAATAAAACAGTAATTTGGAATTTAATTACTTCAAGGTTTATTTTTATTTGTTGCCCTGAAACTTCCATGTAACTCTAGGCTGCAATGCTGAATCAGTCGGGGATCTCAGGCATTGTTCCAAGGGTTTGCTCCCGAAGCCGGAAAAGGACCTTCGGAGAAGCCACTCACACCCCAACGGAGGTCCTGCAGCGGTGAGTCTAAGGAAAGCATGGTGAGAATTCAGTATAATTTGTTTTTTAAAATGTCCACCCTGTTAAGACATCCCCATGTTATAAATATCTCTAATGAGCACAGAATTTCAGCTCCTTCATACAAAATGCCGCAGTGCCATTTAAGGCTGCTTAAAATTATCTTAGCTCGTCCCCTTGACAAACCAAGCGAGGGCCTTAAGAAGTGCAGAGCTGCTGCAGGTGGGAATATGGACAGGCTGTGCGAGCTGCCTCCGGGTCTGAGAGAGCCTTTCTGGTGACCTTGCACTGAATCCTTAGGTTTCAATATATCATCAGGATGCAGCAGCCCACTACCAGCTGACTGACAAGAGAAACTTCTGGAACATCAAACAGAAAAATGTCAGAAGTGGAAAACTACCCAAAACTGAAGTTTTTCAGGTATGGTTCGCTTCCTAACATACTTCCCATAAGCAGTCCCATTGAAAAGTAGGCATTCTGTTAGCAGATGTCAAAGAGACAAAAATATTCTTCCAGTCTGCTTTCTTCCTCTTTAGTTAGCTATTGGATGCCATGAAAAGGAAAATATGTCCATATTTCCTGAACCCACTCAATATTTTTAATAGCTTGGCAGCTGTATTTATGTTCTACCCAAAAGTTAATAATAAGAAGGATTTATTATAAATCCTGAGCTTTATTTTCTGAATCAGAACAGCAACCAGTATGGATTCACATTCACACGGCATTGAGTCTGGGCCATGACATGGTCCTGTTCTCTAGAAATTTACAGTTGAAAAGATGTCATTCGACAAGAGAGACCCTCCCCCAACTTTCTTCTACCACCATAAAAATAATAATTAAAAAAAAAGTACAGGGCTTAAGGAAATAAACAAATGTTACATAAATTTAAAAAACCATAGGGTTGGAAAACTGTTAAGAAAATGTGGAAAAGGGAAGAAAACAAATGAAGCAAAAGGTAATGAAAAAGGAGACCAAGGGTATCGCTATATTAAGAAATGATTGCAAATAGCAAACGAGATCACAGGAGGATTCAAGCATGTCCGAATAACCAGAACACTGGCAACATTTTGTCTTAGTAGGACAGAAGCACCTTCTAGGAAACGACTCACCTTAGGATGAGTCAGATCCCCCCAGCTTGGTAGAGGATTAGTAACGAAGGATCAGAAGTGAGATTTACAGGAACTGCCCTTGGATGATCCCCATGAAATCATACCTGAAGCCTAAAATCTGTAAAAGACCTAGCCCTCACAAAGCACAGCAGGAGTGGGACACCCTATGTCATTGGAGAGTTCATTGTGACTTTGTAGTGCTGACAGCATTGGCTCACTGACAGCTTTGGCCGTTTGGGTGCATCTGGTTTACTTAGAGCTGTCGCACGGCAGCATCATCAGAGCAGGAGGAAGGGACTGCCTTTGACAGTAAGGGGAAGTGGCCCAGTGCCAATAGGGGCAGCGGAGGGGTTGCAGCAGTGCCTTCATAGATGCTCCACGGGTGCCACATGCTTCAGAAGCACATCTCAGGGGGAAGAAAGTGATAGCATCATGCAGCTGTGCGGATCATGTTCTTAGACACATGAGACAACTTACAGAGCTCTTGAAATTACTGGGTGAGGGTGAAATTTGAAAATGGACTGAAAGAGTTAACCATGGTTAAGTCTAGGGTGTGGGTTATAAATAGGGT